GTGTTTTTATTGCATAAATTAATTTCACAAGCTTTTATTCTGAAATATAGCGGTATCAATATTCTTTCTAAAACGGTACAAGCCACCGGGAACCAGACGTCGAACAGAAAGTTTCAACAGCCCACGTGTGTTTTGCTGCGACATCATAAATGAAGCTGCTCACGTGACCTCTAGGACACACTCCCGAAAAGAAGTTTATTTATTGTTTTGAGCGAAGCGATTTCGAATAAAACGTGTTTCAAAATTGTTTGAGTGAACGTAACTATGAAAATAATTATTTAAACAACCCAAACCATTGCTTGATTGTCGTAGAAAATGTAGTAGGAATCACAGTACAGCACTGTATAGTGAGTATAATTACAAATAATAGCCCTTCAAAGCCTAGGCTAATTAATTGGGCTAGGAGCATGGGCCCAAGCTATACAGACGGCGCCTGATTTTCGCTGCGGTTCGCGATCTGACCTTTTTGGGAGTAGGTTAACGACCGGTGTATAGGCCGCCCCCCAAACTTCGAGGGGAAAATCGCGTATAAAATTTGCGGCTTATTCACCGGAAAATACGGTTTATGGAGCAAAAACTTGTGTTTCTTCATGATTTTAAGTGGGGCGGGAGAATTTGTATGAGGCTGGGCGGAAGGCCTTAAAAATAGCTTTAGGATGGGCGCAAGACGTCAAGAGTGGGCGGCACCACCCACCTCCGCCCTGCATAACGACATCCCTGCACTTCTCAGATCCCCATACACCCCCTCCCCTTTCATAAATTTCTGGATCTGCCTCTGATTTTTTTGACTGAAAATGAAAATACTGTATTACCTTACACAATCATTATTCAAAAGATACAATAAGTTATTGCAATTCACAAATGAGACTGGATGGAAGCCTTAAAAAAATCTTTAGTATGGGCGCAAGACGTCAAAAGTGGGCGGCGCCACCCACCTCCGCCCTGCATCACTGTGTCATATGCATTGAGATTTTACAAAGTAGGCCAAAAGTAATTCCAAAAAAGATGTCTGAACTTTGATCATGAGGAATTTGACACGCATCTTTCGGGCCACTTAGGTACTTATAATGCCATGTCTGATGTAACTGCTGATGATGTTCTTTCAGTTTATGAGTCGTCTGTTACCCGTTCCCTTAATTTTATTTCCCCAATTCAGAAAAGACTGATCAAAACACGTAAAAAACCTAGGTGGTATTATAACCAGGACATTCACGTAGCTAGACGTAAACGACGACAGTTTGCTCGCCGATTTATTAAAAATGGGTGTGATGAGAACTGGGATGCTTTTCTCTCAGCTAAGAAACATGCTTGTTATATTACTGTTGAGTCGAAACAGAGATACTTCAATGATGTTCTATTGAATTGTACTGCTAAGACTGCCTTTTCTACTTTGAATTTACTGTTAAGCAGCAACAAAAAGGCAGCATGTTATCCAGTGCATGATGATCCAGATCGGCTTGCTAATGACTTTGTTGACTTTTTCAGCATAAAGGTACTTGACATTCGTAAATTTATAGATGAGGCTGATATTCATATTTATGATTTTCTGCAAGATTCTTTTGTCAATGTTTCTTCATCTGTCTTTCAACAATTTTCAATTGTAACACAGAGTGAGATCTTGAGTATTATTCGTTCTTGTTCTCAATCAAGCTGTAGTATTGATGTCATGCCTGTGTGGCTGTTGGAACAACGCACTGAAGTAATACTTCCTATTCTTACGGACCTTAACGTATCTTTCTCTTCGGGTGTTTTTCCGAAAAGATTAAAGCATGCTGTTGTCAGACAAATCCGTAAGAATCATAACCTTGATAAGGAACTGCTTAGGAATTACAGGCCTGCTTCAAATCTCTCATTTTGTTCTAAACTCATTGAGCGTGTTGTTGTTAATCAACTTTCCGTCTATTTAGATGACTTTGATCTCCGTGAAATTTTCCAATCTGCATATAGAAAATACCACAGCACTGAGACGGCTCTTCTTAAAGTGTACACGGATTTGTCTCAAGCTCTTGATGAGAAACTTGGAATGATCCTTGTTCTATTTGATTTGTCGGCAACTTTTGGCACCATTGACCAATCCATTTTATTAAAACGCCTTGAAACATTGTTTGGCATCACTGGCAGTGCGTTGTATTGGATTAGATCCTATTTGGTAGGTACAGTAGATCTGTGTGTTACACTTCCTGGTGGTCAGTCATATTTCCGAACACTTGAGTATGGTGTTCCACAAGGTTCTGTGGTTGGACCATGCTTTTTTACATTATACCTTAGCCAACTAGGTAATATAATCAGGAAGCATGATGTTAACTTTCATTTCTATGCTGATGATCTTCAATTATGCCTGAAATTTAATCCTTTAGATCATTTTGGTATTGATGATTCTGTTTTTCGGCTAAAATTGTATCACTGAAATTCAACAGTGGTTGACATTGAATAAACTAAAGCTTAATGAAGGTAAAACAGAGCTTCTGGTCTGCACTTCTAGAAACCAACAGTCATCACCATCAGTTAGGAATATCCAACTTGTAATTGGATCTCTCATAAAGGCCTCTAAAAATGCGCGTAACTTGGGTTTTACATTTGACTCCACACTGGATTTAAGTTCTCAGGTGAGTAAGGTATGTAGTAGTGTACGTTACCATTTGCGTAACTTGTGGAGGATTCGAAGATTTGTTAATCAAGATACTTGTATGAAGCAGTTAGAACCCTCGTACTATCGCGAATTGACTATTGTAACTTACTCTATGGTGGTCTCTTCAAGAAAGACATTGATAGACTGCAGAAATTGCAAAACTCTGCTGCTCGCTTAGTCTTTTCATGTGATCCTCGTACACACTCTGCTCCTCTCATCAATGAACTTCATTTGCTGCGAGTTAATAATCGAATTATTTTCAAAATTATTCTCACTGTTCACAAATGTATCTTGGTATTTCTCCAAACTATTTATATGGTTTTCTCGACCAACGTTTCCCTATACACATTTCTCTTCATCTGTACATTTCATTGTACCACGTCACAAGAAGAGAATTGCAGGCTTTTCATTTCCATGTTATGCTTCTAAACTTTGGAATAATCTTCCAACTGACCTTAGAGATATCTCCGATCCTAATCTTTTTAAACGTGCACTCAAGACTTACTTGTTTGCCTAACTCTCTTTTTGCTGCTTTTTTCCTTTTGTGTTTTTATTATAATCTGTTTATTTGTATTTGTTGTTTGTGTGACTGTACTGTGATGCTTCAGGTTCCTGAATAATGACTGATTTTAAACCTTTGTTTTCCTGAATTATTGAGGCTTGGCTTGTGCTTCATAACCGCAATGTTCTCCCGGTGTACTGCCCAATACCAGAAAAACCCCACTGGAAATATGTCTTCTTAGAATTTCGTGGGTTATCCTTGGTGTTTACACCGAATAAATTCAATCCAATCCAGCTAGGGGCTTTTAGGCCTAGTTCTACCCATTTAGTCTATCTAAAGTCTAAGAAAGGACTCTACTAGGCCTAGCTATAGGCCTATCTATGAGAACATAAACAATTCAATTTGATGTCTATACAACGAAGACTAAAAATCCAAAAACAAAGACCACTATTTTTTCTCTTTTATTTTGATGATAATATACCAGGCTGTCACAAAATCAAAATTATGAAATTTTTTGGGCGTCTGTGAAATTTTATAGGGTCTTCGTTTTAATAGGCACCCTATATGTGTCTAAAATGAAGACTGAAGACCTGAAAAACAAAGACCTCCAATTATTTATCAATTATGCATTTGTCAATTGTTTGAAGTCCCGCCCCTCCCCCAGCCCCTTGCTTGATGGAAGCACAATGCATGCGTATCGCAAAGCAGATTTCCATGAAAGTTTGGAAAAATGCGGAAAAAATGAGTGTATTTACAGATTGATCATAGAAAAAGAAATGATTGATTGATTTAACTGATTGTTAGAATTACTTATTCAATCAAAACAGAAATTAGGCCTAAATAAGAAAGTGAATATAACAATTAGTTTGGCTCATGTACTGGCATATTTTTTACGCAAAACTATGTCAAATTCATGTTAAAAAATTTTCACGCAACACACTCACACGCGCCACCACCTTGGTCCTCTGTGTTGTGTGGCTGGGTTCAATTTTTATTAAGTAATATACCCGTGATCTATAAAAAATGAAACCATGATGGTAGGCCAGTACAAGCAGAATTGAAGAAGTACTGTAATCATCCACATTCAAAAGTCTATGGGTTTAGAATGGGAATAGGAATGAGAGAAGTTCTTCCCTGAAAACGATTTTTGAAAGAGCCCTTGATGTGCAGAGAGAAGTGTACAGGGGCAGATCAGGATTGAAATTTACGGTGGAGTCAAAATGTTTCTAAAAAACCACCTAAAAAAAAAGGGGGGGGGGTTCGGGCCCGGAAAAATTTTGATTCGTAGATGGTGGGAAGTGTCTTTTAAGTTAAATTTTCAAAGTTTACCCCTCTTGAAAAAGATCAGGTAATTTTTTCTCATTTTTATTACAGTACAGTAAGTAGGCCTATTATGTGTGTATCGGTATACATAAAGAAACAAAATTGAGTAGTTGCATACAGAATATTTTTCTTTTTTTCTATGAATTGATGAGCCCCAAAAAAAAAAGGAGGTTGGGGTCCGCTCCCGGAAAAATTGATTCTTAGATGGCGAATGAGCTTTCTAGTCTTCGAAAAGAAGCCCATCTCGAAAGAAGCCCATCCAAAGTTCGCAAAAAAAGAAAAAAAAAATAGAAGCCCAAGGCTTCATTTCGAGGTTTTACGTTTGTGAACTGCTCCAGTATGTATACAATTTTAATTTCATTTACTGCCAAAATGTAATATGTTATTAAAATTCTTTTTCTTTTTAGGCTAATGTAATTACTAAGAGTTTATTCAACAATACTGATGTAATACTTAAAGGTAAGAGAATTTAATAATAGTTTTTCGTTATCAATAATAATGATTTTAAACAATGGATTTAGAGGGAGAAAAGGTATTTGATTTCAAGACTAAATTCTTTTGCAATTTGGCTAAATTAAAAACACCATGTATAAAAGGACCTGTCGTGTCAAAATTTGTCCGGGCTGAAAAGGTCTGGTGGATATTTTAGCATCCAAAATTGGCCCGCCGTACTACATTTGACCGTTAAAATCGGTCCTCTGGGTCGATTTTAGTCGTTAAAACTGGTCCCCCTTGGATAAAATTGGCCCGTCGGCCTAGCAGCTTGTTACGGTACTCCTCTACTACAGTAAGTATCGTAGAGTATGATTGTTTTCCCGTGGAGTGGAGGGTAGTAAATTATGTTTCTCCCGCACTTGCAATATCTTTTGCTGACAGAATGATTTGTAAGCTTTTGTGTTTTATCAAACCTACCCGTTAATGCTTTTTCCTCCTTGGTGATACAGCTAAGCAGCCGAGGTCTAGAATTTGGGCATAGAATTTTGGCCTAAAATGAAACATTGATGTATTAGTTTTATTTCAGATTATTGTATGGTGTATTGTTGAAATATGTCAAATAATGTTCAATTAATTGAAAATTAAGGATAGTAATTTCTTGGAAATTAACGCTGGTTAAGCACACAATAAAAGCACTGACTGTATGTATTTTTTTATGTGTATTTATGTGTGTATATTTTTTATAAATATGTATATTTTTATGTATATATTATTTGTAAACCAACGATTTCAGCCTATGGGCTGCCTGTTTTGGTGTTGTATTTTGATACCGTGAACAAATAAATAAATAAAATACATGAAAAACCAGGTAAAAGAATAAACTAGTGGACTAACATATTGTTAACTTTTTCTTTTACAATTTTGTTAAAGACAATCATTATTGCGGAATATACCAAAGAGTATAGGGTTACACTGGCGATGAAGCCAAAATTACAAATTTTGGTGCCTGTATATACTCTACTAACGCAGGTACAATCCTGCCCTCGGCTACAAACCCACCCTCAGCTATAAGCCTACCCCTGCCTTTCGCGTCATTTTCATCAAAATCAGGCACTCGGGTACAATCTTACCCCAATAATTTGAAGATTTGAGATTAGTTAACAAAATATTTTGTAATGAAATGCATCGTCTTCCAAGGCCTAAACGTTCAAGTTCGGAGCTTTAAATACATCGTAAATCAGATGGCATACGGCTGAACAAGTAACCGGCCTAGGGCCGCACAGGGGTCGCCTTAAATTACGGCCGACTCAACTTCATTTCCGTTCACAGTTATTGTTTTAAGTTGTTTTAAGTCGGGCCAGGGCCGCCTTACGGACGTTCACACTTCTTCTTTTGGGCCGGGTCGATGAATTGCAGGACAAGTTGAGGCGACCGCATTTTGATGGCGGAACGGTAAATCACAACCTATCCTAGCATAAACACATGGAATTCGCGCGAAACATGAACCTAATTTCAAAAATTGTCCTTATACTTTTTCGATTTTTTTAAGCGGATAGCATTCTGCTTCATGATTATGGCGACGATAATTCTTATAATAACCAAGGCCTATAATTAGCGCAGCTCGACTTTACTCTGTGCAAAGCCAGACTCGCGATTTCGAAAGTCCATACCTGTATATTGTAAACTGTCTATATAGGCCTATATTGCCCTGTCAGTGTTTGGCCACAGACCGGAGACACTGATTGTGAATAAGCAACATATCTATCTATTTGGCAATAATAATTATTTTCATATTTAAGGTTCATTCACAGACAATTTTTGACGCTTAGAACCAGCTTCGCTCATAACAAAAACAAACGATTATGTTTTTTTTCTGTCCTCGGGGTCACGTGAGTAGCTTTACGACCGTCGACACAAAACGCACGTGGTTGGTGAGGATGACGTTCACAGTAAAAATTATACCGCTATACAGTGTTATAATTTTAGAATATAAACTTGTTAAATTAATGTGTGCTATACAAAAACGGGGTTTCTTGAGCTTGTAATAGGCCAATATATGTAGAAAAGAAAGTCGTCATCTGTCAAACTGCCCATACGTAAGCTTTGTATCACGTGGTATTCCCCATGCCTACAACTTGGTTTGTGATGATACTTATCAGGGTTGCCATTTGGCCTTTTTGACGGCCAGATTCCTCAAATCTGGCCGTATAAAAATTTGCCTGGCCGTAACGTTTGAAAAGTCACGGCCAAACTATATTTGGCCGAATTTGGCCGAATTTTTGAATTTACATTTTTTTTTCAATACAGGCTTAATATAACAAACTTGTTTTGGATGTGTTGTTTTTGTTAGCTTAAATTCTATATTTGATTCTAATCACAGTGGCGGATCCAGGGGGTTAGGGCGGGGGGTTCGTCCCCCACCCCCTTTGTGAAGAAACATAACAAAACACTATGGGTCCTGGCTTACAAAATTCATGCTAACTAGACGCGGATCCAGACCTTCGCCCACTTCGCCCAAGCGAAGGTCAGGGTGAGACTTCAATATAAAATGTTGACCATTTTTCCAACAATCATACTTACTTTCCTTGACACTTATTTTGAACATTACCATTAGAAAAATGTTTAAAAATCCACACTTTCCTATACCTTACACTTTTAAACAGATTGTACTGTAGGCCCTACCAGAGAGAGGGGTACATTCCCAATACATTATGGTCTTCCACTTCTATAGCACATGATACAGTGCATAAGCAAACGTTATGTAACCACTAATAATACTCAGGTCCAGTGGCGTAGGTATGGGCAGTGCAGTCAGTGCAGTCAGTGGACAGCACTGGGGCCCGGGGCTATTGGGGGCTCATTCAATAGGTATAATGATCTAAAAATTTAACTTAAAAAAATCCTATTCAAACTTTAAAAGGACCCTTCAATAATATTAGGTTTTAGAGGATATAGTTATTGATTATATTCATTACAATTTACCTATTAGGCCTACCTATTTCCCAAACGCTGCAAGTAAAAAAAAAAGAAAACAACAATACAAGCCCTTACGTATACGATGGACTAATATACTTTTTGAAAGCACATTTCTAAAGCAATACAATATCGTCACGCACATTTTGTGTTTGTGGTACAGTATTTTAAAGCTGTCTCTTATACACATCTGTTGGGCCGATTGAGACAACAGTGTCGTAGGGGGTCCGGGGCAT